TTCTCTTCAGAGATGATCGTCGTCGATAGTGACGTCACAACCCACGGCAATGACGTAAAAGGCAGGGAACGTTAAGTTACGCAAGCGTCGAGAAACGCAAGCAAGCAAGAGTAGGGTGCGCCTCGATCACCCAGTGCCCTACATTTCCCCTACTACGTTTACATTTCTACTCCCGTTTTTCAACCCCTCCCCTCCCCCCCTCCTCCTCCCTGTCACTACCCAACTACCACCACCAACTCAAAAATCCCCTCTTCTATTACTAACTCCTCCCTACCTACTACCCTCTACTACTCACCTAACTTGCTTGCTTGCTTCCACAAACCACCCCCTTTCTTTTCATCCCCTACTTCTTTCTTTCTTCCTTTCTTTCTTTCTTTCTTTCTATGTATATGCTTCTTTTTTATATGTGTGTGTATTATTTGAAGCTTATGGGGTTGTCAAGAGACTCTTTTTCTCTATCTCGACACTGTTTAAGTTCCCTTCGGAATCCTTATGGGGCTAGGTGGAAATGCATAAGTAAACAAGAAAACAAACATTTATCGTTTGTCCAATAGGTACACGTGACATAAATAGAATCCGAGAATCTTTTTCTTTATTCTACTTGTTATTTTGCGAATGGTGGAAAGGAACGAAAGAATTTTCTTTATTTTCTATATATTATTATTCTTTTATTATATTTTTATTTTATTTCATTCTCTCTCTTACGTGTGTGTGTTTTTTCTTTTCTTCTGAGAGGAATTTTTGTAGGATCGGGATAATGAATTTGATGAAAAAATTTCTTCTTTTATTTGTTTTAATATAAGAGATCTTTTTGAATGATTTTATTTCATGTAAATTGAACGTTACGTTATAATGGTATATATACACACACATACACATATATATATATATGTATAATAAATGAAATTTAATTTATATTTTATTGTGTAGGTTAAACTTTAAACAACTTAGAACCTAACTGCAATCACCTCACACAAGTTTGCATATTCTGAAATTAGATATTTTCAAGCTATAACGAAAACTCCCGTCCGAAAGCTGTCACGAGTGAAATTTAACCTGAAGCAAAATTTGGCTTACCAACACAAATACATCACACAATTTCATTTCGACGAATCTCTAACCATCCAATGGGAAAATAATAATCAATTCGTAATTAAATGATTATTTTATTAATTCGCATAGCAAGAGGATAATTATTATCAATGGGGGGGATTTAATTAAATCGAATTATAGAATTATTAATAATGTTCGCGAATGGTTTTGCGATAGGTTTATATAAAAAGAAAAAAAAAGTAAGAGGAAAAAGAAAAATAACTTGTAAAAATATGACGAGAAAAACTTGTAACGAGTAAAAAATCGTTAGAAAATAGGATTGGGGTGAGGTGACAGTGTTTAGTTGAGATTTTTCGATAGGGATGGTCGGCCTTTTTTACGATAGTCCTTTTTATATCCCGAAGAATCATAGTATTCCCTCGACTTTAGTATTACCACCCCGCCAACGACATATTCCTTGGAGATCAAATTTTTTCCAGTACGTATCTTCTTCTTCTTCTTCTTCTTCTTGAAACAACTCGTATAGACTGTTCTGATTCTTTTTTTTTCTATTTTTTTTTTTTTTTTATTTTATTTTCTTCCTCTCAACTTCACGAGTATAATAACTTTCTATATCTATGGATAACATATATATATAAAAAAGAATACCAAGATGGTCGAAGCAACGTAAAGAAAGAATCTTAAATGTGGAATGCTTCTTTTCACTAAGTTTTTTATTATGAAAAAAAAAGAAGAAGAAGGAAAGGAATAAAACTAAACGGAAAGAGAAAAGGGGAATCGTAGAAGATAATTCGTTTAAAAGAAGAAACAAAAAAAAAAATAAAAAAAGAAACAAAATTATTCCTAAAAATTAGCGTAGTATGATAAAAATAAAAAATGCATTCCCCATTTTTCTTTTTTCTTTTTTTTGCGAATTTCACAAAACCGTTATTTCTCGTGAGACTTTTTAAAAGGTTTAATAGTAGTAGTAGTAAATGGTAAGGTTGAAGGTGAAAATCATTAAAAAAGTTAAAGAAAATGTCAGAACTGATTTTCTTGAATAATGAACACGTTGATAGGATTTCTAACGTCGTTGAAAAGCACGTTGGAAAAGTTATCGGATACTGATAATTAAAATGAAAGAGTCAAAGAGAAAGAGAAAAAGGAAAAGGGGCTGAAGTGTGGGGGAGTGGGGGGTAGGAGGGGGAGAGTGGTAGAGTAAAAGAAAATCGAAGTTTAAATTATAAATGCAAGCTTCATTTAAAATATTTCATAATCAAATTGAGTGTACATCGATAGAAGAGTACACACACAACCAATCGAATGAATATTTATCGAATTTACAAAATTTCTTTTAATTATTCGACAGAATTTGTTAGAAATAGTTTTCTTGTTTTATTATACGACCCTTATATGTATGAGTCGGCCCTTAATACGTGGTCATCTTTACGCGAATTAAAAAAAATAATTAAATGAGCACATAAAAGAGAGAGAGAGAGAGAGAGAGAGAGAGAGAGAGAGAGAGAGAGAGAGAGAGATGAGACTTATTAATAATTATTTTTTGTTCTATATTTTATTTTACTTTTTTTTTTTGTTATGTATATATATATATCGGTTACGTTTATTATTCATTGATAAAGAAAAAAGAAAAGAAAAAAAAAGGCATTGCAGAAATGGAAATATTTTTCGAAGTAAACGTCGTGGAAGTTCGGAAACACAAAAAAAAAAAAAAGAAAAATGTATCTCGTGGTAACGTTAAGGAAGGAAGAAGAAGGGAGGAGGTAGGTGGTGGAGGAGCGTAACTTTTTTTTCTCCTATTATTGCCGATGGAAATTTTCTGGGACAAGAAATGGGAAATAATTTGAAGAGCAAAGTTTCAACTGGAAAGTTGCGAAATAAATGTAGTCGAGTTTCTATTTCTCTCTCTCTCTCTCTTTTACTCATTGGTAGCATCGTCGCGTCGGTTAGGGCACAAAAGTAAAGTAAATTTTGGTTAACATTCGAGAAGAAACTTCTTCTTCTTCTTCTTCTTCTTCTTCTCTCGGGTATAGTAGGAAAACTTTTGGTCTATGAGATTTAGCCCGATTTTCGAATGAAATTAATTCGCTTATTAGGCACCTCTCATCCCCCCCCGTCCCCCAACCCCCCACCCGCCCATCTCCATTCCGTGTCTGCACACGGCCGATTAAAAGTTCCGAGTCTATCGAGTAGTCCGAGAATTTCTTCTTCTTTTTTCTTTTTTTTATACCATCGATAGGGAATAATCGAACAAAGAGAATAGTAATGAAATAATAAATTTTGTGCGATTGAAGATGGTACCGAATTATTATCATTTAACTTTTAATATACGATGAATAATATATATCGATTATATTCATATATATAACTTGCATTTATTAATTTATTAAAATGTATAACTCGTTGGATTGAAATTAATTTTTATTATTATTATTATTAACAAAAGTGTTTTATAATAAAATTGAAAAGCGTAATTGATTTTCGTTACAGTATGTGTATCGCGTTATTACATCGCGTTTCATTATTATTAATAATAATAATAATAATAATGTTAAAATCGATTAATCGAGAATAGATTTAATACTATTTTAAACGTTTAACTATTCCTAGATACGCAATTATAGTGTTTCGCTATTAAAATACTCGGCCTTATTAAAGAAATACAAATCTCAAAATATTTGCCAATTAATTTTCAATACGTATTTGCATATTATACGTGATCATTATCGAACTAACTATACAAAATAGGGTGAGGGGGTGTGGTAGACGAGGAAAGAAAGAAAAAAAAAAAAAAAAAAAAAAAAAAAAAAAGAGAAGAGAATAAGTAACCACCACCACCAAAAAAAAAAAAAAAGAAAAAAGGTAATCAATCAATATATTCCAGAACACACACGTGCTTTTCGTAATTAAAAAAAAAAGAAAAGAAAAAAAGGAAAAGGAAAGATAATAAATAAAAGGCTAGATCGGTGATGCGACCTCTCATGGAGCATGGGGGATGTTGGAAGAAGGGGGTGTTGGTGGTATTGGTGGTGGTGGTGGTGGTGGTGGTGGTGGTGGTGGTTTCGATCGGTCGGTCGGAAAATCGTCGGCCCGACTTTCGGCGCGACAAAGAAGGGCGGGAGGGTTGAAGGTAGGGTGGGGGTGTGCACGGGCGCGGCGCTGAGCTCGGATCTAGGGGGATGAAAAGGGGTCTTGCTGCTGCTGCTGCTGCTGCTACTACTAGAGTTAAGGGGTTGGTACAAGATAGAGAAGGAGAGAGAGAAAGAGAGAGAGAGAGAGAGAGAGAGAGAGAGAGAGAGGAATGGTTGGAAGCTGCGAATCTGGTGGGAGATTTTGCTGGAGCAGGGGAGGGGGAGAAATTTCCACGTATATATATATATAGAGAGAGAGAGAGAGAGGGAGAGAGAGGGAAGGCGCAGGCGCGGGACGAGGGTTGAAACAGCGGATCGGGGTTGCTCACTACGCCCGGGACATCGTGGCTCGACCGGATGATAGAAAGAGAAGGGGGAGGAGGAGGATAGAGGAATACTGGGGGAAAAAAAGAAGTGTAAAAAGGGGACGGGTAAAGGTAGTAAGAAAGGAAGGAGGGAAAGAAAAATAGATAGAGAGAAAGAGAGAGAGAGAGAGAGCAAGGGGKGGGKGGGGGAGAGATGGATACATGGATGGATACACGCACGACGAAGACAGAAAATTAGAGAGAGAGAGAGAGAGAAAGAGAGAGTAGGTGAAACAGAAGGATAGAGATACATTGGAGAACATTGGTGGGAGAGGAGGAGGAGGAGGTGGTGCACGTAGAAGAGGAACCGAGAGAGGGAAGGGGTGGTAGGATACCAGCTACAGGGAGGAAAGCAGTGAAACGAGAGGGTGAGGGTGAGGGAGAGGGAGAGAGGGTGTGTGTGCGCGCGCGCGTAGATCCAGCACGAGAGGAAGGAGAGAAGAGAAGAGAAGAGAAGAGAAGAGAGCCCTGGAAAAGCCGGGAGTGTTCCTCTCCGACGACCCTCATCAGTCGAGGTTTCCGCGAGGGAAAGCTACCCTCGTCGTGTCCTCCTCGTCGGTCGTCGTCGGTCGTCGGTCGTCGTTGTCGTGGTGGTAGTGGTGGACGTCGTGTTGGACGTCGTGGTTGGTGGTCCTTCGTTTTCCTTTTCGTCTTCGTCTTCGTCTACATCGTGTTCGCGTTTGTACCTGTCGTCGTCGTCGTTATCCTCCTCGTGAGAAATTCCCCTAGAAAAAAGTTACTAGCTAGTTAGAATTTAACCAGCATCTCTATCACCTCGTAGATTTTTTATTCTCATCTTATAACGGGTGTGTGCGCGCGCGCCCAACGTCCTTCCGCGAGTGGGAAAATCTTCTTTCTCTCTCTCTTATTCTCTATCTCTCTTTCTCTTTATCTCTCTCTCATTCTGTTTCTGTTTCTCTCAAACCGTGTCTCCGCAGCATCCGCGAACACAGAGGTGTGCACCTCGTGGACGGGATGCTACTCGAGCTCCAAATTCTCCAATAGGAATCTCACGCCTATATTAATCAACCTCCTCCTCCACCTCCTCCACCTCTTTATGTGTGTGTATTTGTCTCTGTGTGTGTACACGCATATATATATGTATATATAGTATATATGTATATATGTGTGTATACCTATTAATGAATATTAGAGAGAAAAAGAAGACACGACGTATTATTCGTGATTGGTTACTGGAAACAGTGTTTGACGCGTTCATCATTTAATTTCAAGATCATCGAGATTATTCGTGATTACTTTTTAAAAAAAAAAAGTAAAAACTAAACAAAACAAAACATAAGAAAAAAAGGGGGTGTAGTTTTGGTAATTGGAAAAGTAACTGGACTTAGACGTTTGAGTTAACTAAAAGGGGGGGTGAGTGGGGACGTTATTTCGTCGTTAAAGTGAAGCAGAAAAATAAGCAGCAGTAGCAGAACTCCCAGCATTATCGTCGAGAAGACCAGAAAAATCCCAGGAGGAAAAGTTAGGTGGCTAGAGCTACTCGGAAGCTGAGAGAGGGAGCCTCCTCGCGTTCTCTTAAACTAAAGACCTCTTTCCCCTCATCCTTTCCATCCATCCCTCCCCCTCCTCCTCCCCCCTGCTTCTTCCCCCGCCAACCAACTCCCCTTTCGGGATATTGGGAGCCCGCGGGAGGATCGAAGAAGAAGACACTTAAAATCATGAGCGAGGGCACGCAGAAATCTCAGAGCAACTCCTCCGTGCCCGATGGCTCCCCGGCTCGACTCGAAGCCGGTACGAAATTCCTTCCTTCTTCTTCTTTTTTTTTATTATTATTATTAAATAATTTGTGTCTCTTAATTGTTTATTATCATTATTATTGGTTAATATTAATTATCTATGTACTTTGTAATGTAAAATATCGTCTAACCTGTGTAGTTTCCTTTTTCACAATTTTGTAGGAAAAAACAAAAGCAAAAATATATATTATTTATTTATTCTACAAAATATATATGAAAAATGTAGCTTGAGAATTTTTCGTACGGCCGATATTTTTTAAGATGATTTTTCATTCTCAAAGACAAGTATTATATTTTCTTACGATATAATTTCGTTATTATTATTATTGGTTACATTAATTATCTATGTACTTTGTAATGAATTTTTTGATCGTTACCAAACTATCTTCTTACCTGTGTAGTTTGTTTTTTCACAATTTTACAGAAAGAAAAGCAAAAAAAAATATATATACATATATTATTTATTTATTATATAAACATGAAAAATGTAGCTTGAGAGAATTTTCCGTATACCCAATAATTTTTAAGATGAATTTTCATTCTAAAAGTATTGAGAAGTATTATATTCTCTTACGAGATAATTTTTGAAAGAAAGAAAGAGATCAGGTAGTATAATAAAAAAAAAAAACTAGATCACAATATTTGATGTCTATAAAAGAAAAAAGATTATAGGATAAATCTCGTATAGAGCATTCGAAGTTAAAAAGTAACGCCGACGACGTGTCGTCTAAAAACGATACGAAGAGCAACCACAACCAGCAACCCCCCACGGTTACACGTTATTAACGTCACTCGAGGTATAAACGTAGGTGCCCATTGCTTCTTCTCTCTTTGATCATCGAAACATAAAACGTTGCTTCGAATGAACGACAGAGATAGAAAGAGAGAAAGAGAGAGAAAAAAAAAGGAGGGTGCAAGCAAAGGTCACAGTTCATCGGGCGCGATTTCAGCCGGAAACCTTTGGCCCGATCTCGGTTTGCACTTTTTCTATTTTAATACGCTTTTAAACATATGTCATATTTCCTTGCCAATCAACCACTCCCCCCCCGTCCCCTCCCCTCCCTCTACTTCTTTCTTCTTCTATTATTTATCGTTTTATCGACGAATTGTAAAACCTTTTTTTCACCTCCCCTTCCTCCCATCCTCCCCCATTTTCATCATATTTCTGTATCATACAATTTTGGAGAGTGCAGATGGGGATTGGGTTCGTTAAGACACTCAAAAGTTCATTTTGATTTGGATAATACTTTTTTGGAGAAGAGTCAAGTGTTCCTTTTTTTTATTTATTTATTTTTATGTTCTACGTGAAAGATATTAATCGTAAAAAATGTGAGAACGTTGTGTTCAAATAATCGATCATAAGAGATTCCCTTATGAATTTTGTATTACGATTTATCTTTAGAAGGGGGTTTGCAAGAAAATAAATAAAATGAATATTTATTTTTCAAAAGCTCGCGCGTATTTAATGTGTTGACTCTTCTTTATCGTTTAAAGCCGCAAAAAAAAAAAAAATAATAAATGGTTTGAATATAAACGTGTCGGAAAGATAAAGAGAAGAAAAATAAGAAGAAGAGAAAAAAAAAGAAAAAAAGGAAGGGTCGGGGGATAAAAGAAAAGCGTATAGCATTGAAATACTTTAAAGCTGTTGGTAAATTGCCACTCTTACGAACCCCCCACCCCCCTTGTTTTAAAGCGCTAATTTTAGCGGTCTCGAGAATCCGGAGAAGAAGAAGAAGAATGAAAAGGAGGTAGGGGGAAAAAAACAAGAAATGAAAGAAATGAAAGAAAGAAATGTCAGTCGCGTCAAGCGTATTATCTCGTCGTCGTTTTATTTTATTGTTCGTTTCTTCGTTTAACTTTGCATTTTGAAGAGATTTTCGAATCACAAAATCATTTGAGTTCTCTCAACGTTCTCGACACGAATCCTTCCATTGTTTAAACTCGGTAGGGTGAAATAAATAGCTTCATTACTCGTTTCAAACGAAACGTTTAAACGAAAATAACATTCGATTCGTTTCAATGTCGACTATTACTCGACATTTCATTTTCAATTATCCCATTACTTACGTACACGTATACTCTTCAAATTAATGTCTCTTTGTAAAAAAGAAGAATAAGAAGGAGAAGAAAAAAAATAAATCTCTTGTTAAAAAAAATATGTTAATCCGTTTGGCACAGTTATAAAATAAATGATAAAACTTATACTAATACGCAAAAAGATTAATATTATTTTTGAAAAGAAAAAGAATTAATTAAACTTTTTCTTACGGCAAGATAAACGTTTTTTCTTTTTTCTTTTTTTTTCGTTTAATAATAATCCGTGCACAAAAGAGAAATAATTAATTAGCATTGTCTACGTGGCATCATAAAGTTTGAATAACTTAAATCTAAACTTTAGAAATAATTTGTAGAACATTTTCTCGAAAGGAAAACTTTACTCGCGCGTAAATTTATATTTGTGTGTCATTGAGCAAATAGAGTTCGGGGGAAAAAATTAATTCGTGGAAATATTTCTGGCGACATGTAACTTCAATCGTAACTGTATAATCAATCCACTCCCATAGATACGAATACATGAATAGAATATTATATTCTTCGTGTTTCGCGAAGATTGGAGAATTTCAATCGAGAAAATGGTGTAGATGCTATTCACAATCCTGCGAGAATATATAACAGAATTTGTAAATCATTTTGGCCAAAGTAAAGTAAAGTAAAGTAAAGTAAAGTAAAGTAAAAATAAAGTAAAAATAAAGTAAAGTAAAATTTTACTCGATGCATGATGCAACGAGATATGAGAAGAAACATAGTAGATACAATGATAACTGTGATACATTTTTCACGTCATCGATAAACTTACATTTATTATTTACCACACAATTATTTATCTTTCAATATTTCTTTCTAAAGAAATTACAATTAACGTTCATTCGATATAACAAACACACCACTTTGTATATTTTCTTGCAATCATAAATTATTAAATTAATCGATTTAATTTTTAACTTCTCGCTGAACAAAAATATATATCATCCTTTATTAAAATAATATAATATTATGATTCGATAAATTCGATAAAATTCGTTTGATATAAATTAACAAAAGTCAACGTTTACAATTTAAATAAATATAAGAAAAAAATATGAGAAATTTTCAAATGTGAAATGACTAATAACGTTTTCAAACTATCGTTAAAATCAATGATAGAAGAGATTCATTTAGAGATAAACACGAATAACTTAACTATTGTTCGAGAAGAATTTTTTTCATATGAAAATAATGAAGATATAATAATATATTAAAATGAATGATATAAAAGGGATGAGACAATGGATAAAGCAAATCTTTCGAATAACAAACTTCACTTTACCTTCCTACGCGCGATTTCATTTTCGCTTTTATGAAAGAGAAGGAATTCGAATGAGAATGATGGGTGGGTGGGTGGTTGGGTGGGAAGGGGGAAAGTTATCTAGCAGGTTCTCTCTTGTGCGTTAAAATTAATGCACTCGTTGAATTCTCGTTGAAGGACCAATGATTGCACTTCGATGCATCCATTCGTATGTGTATATGGGACAAAATGGTTTGATAAACATTTTTCTCTCTTCCTCTCTCTCTCTCTCTCTCTCTCTCTCTTTATATATATATATGTATTGGTACGAATCGGTGACATAACGAGAAACACGATAAAAGTTTCCATTGCGTACGCGTCAATGAAATATACCGAGTACTTGCCTTTTATTAAAACGATATCGTATGTTTTATTTCTTTTTTTTTTTTTTCATTCCTTCGAATTGCATTAGAGAAATAAAACCGGTACACATACATACACACACACACACACACACACATACATACATTCTCTTTCTCGTCCTATAAAATACGCATATTAAATTCTCATTTAAATTCTCATCGTAGGAATGAAATCGTTATTCGAATTTTTACACACACACACGCGTACCTCCTATACGTTTAAAGATAATTTTTATTTGATCCATACATTCGTATGAAGTGTGTTACAAACGTATAATACTTTTTACGCGATAAATTTTTAGAATAGATATTTATTTTCTTTTACGTTATTGTTGATAACGATAAATTAATTTTGTTTTACACACATACATAATATATAATTTCTATATTTTATGTATATTTTATAATTCTCATTACAGGGGAACAAATCTAACAATATCGTTTAACTTTATAATATTATATAATATTATCACTTTTCCTTTCTCT